CGGCGGCGGGTGCGGGCGGCGGGGCCGGGCCGGTGCGGGCGGGTAGCGCTGCCCTCTGCTTCCGAAGAGGACTCGGCCCTCGGGTGCTCTGTTGCAGAGCTGCGCGGGCTCCCGGCCGGGCTGTCCCGGAGCTGCGTCTTCCCCGTTACCGGGCAGAAGGCGCCGAGGCGCCGGTGGCCGTCCGCCGCCGGTAAAGGCCGAGGAAGGACCCGCTTCCGAGGGCGTGCTGCTCGGCCCGCAGGGCCGCGGCTAAGCAGGAGCCCGGCTCGGGCTGCCACCCGCCCGAGGGACGGGGCTGGGGCTTCACTTGACGGCTCCGCTTTCCTCGGAGAGCGGTGGTAGTGGAAACCCAGCGTGTGCCCAGGCAAGTTGCCCCTCTTCTGTTTCCAGTGTCTCACGGTGCGACTCTTGTAACCTGCCTGAGGAACGCTGAGCGGCTGGAACGGTTGTGCCTGGGCAACAGCACGATAGAGCGTTACCTTGGCACGGGCGCTGTAACTGCAGTTCTATTGCAGTACCCCAAGGTGGGAAAAACGGGCTCAGAAGTGGACTTCCTTCATCGCTTCCAAGAGAAAACACAAAAAGAAACAGTTCGATAATGCTGAAATTCACTGAAGATACTTCATGATAATCTGTTGCTACTGTTTATGTTTGCCAGAGGCCATTGCCTCATAAAATTAAACTTTTTGCCCTAGAAATGGGGATGAGTCAGGCAGCACCGGAGGCAGGATGACTAAGAGACTGTGGCGGCTCTACTTTCTGTAGATTCAGCAGAACTGGTTGTACTGCGGAGCAGTGCTGCCCCTGCTTCCGAACTTCCCGTGGTCCCTTGTTTCTGAAGGCTTCTGAGATCCTTTTGTAACTTTCGCGCGCCGTACGCTGGAAGATACACTTGATGGGCTGGAGTAGTGAGGAGGTCACGTCTCCGGATGATGTCTGATCAGCAAATTGAGACAACCCTAATTATCAACAGATGCTTCTAAAAACGTTCTTCTCTGAACCCTTGTCTTGTGCATTCATTCATTTACAGCAGGCGTGACTCCATTCCTGTTGTGTACGCTGAGCTGGTATTTCGTGCCCCAAGAGAGCAGTATCTGCTTTTATCTATAAACTTCAAAGCTTCCTTTCAAGCTTTACGTGGCGTTTGTAATAGTTGTGAGGTGCAAGTTTTGCTTTGTTTTGTTCTTTTATCTCACCAAATCTTGCATCATTTAGTCTCCTGTGATTTCTTCACTTCCTGCAATCCCAGTTTGCTGGCAGGACTGCACGAACAGTGTTTCATTGAGAATCAGTGTAGTCATAAATTCTTAAAAGAACTGTTGAAAGACAAAAGATTGATACTTGTTTTATGGAAGAGCCACTGTTCTTCATTCCACATCCTATCAAACAAGAACAAACTTCCTAGAGGAGTGATCTTCCAAAGAAGAAGACAAGAAACAAGACTTCCCCAGGTATTCAAAACAGGGAGCCCAGAAGGCGTGATTTATATAACGAGGTGCCATACGGAAGACTTTTTTCTGTGATCTTTTTAAAACAAAACAAAACAACACAGCAAACCAACCCCCGCAAAACAACTTAAAAGACAGTCTAAACCGATGCGTTAAACCCCGTGCTGCAGATATCACAAAGCTTGCGTAG